TAGTAGGACCTTGTCTCAAAAAACAAACAAATGAAAACAAAACAAAAAAACCCAACAAAGATGTGGTTCAACTCTGGTATTTCTCTGCTGATTTTTTTTTTTTTTTGTCTAGTAGATTTATTTGTGAAGGTGGGGTATTGAAATCCCTCACTATGATTGCATTAATGACTATCTGATTTTTTATATGCCATGGTGTTTGCTTTATGAAGTTGGCTACATACATGTATTATTTATTATTATCTTTTTTATCTTATTTATTATTGTTATCTTTATCTTATTATTGTTATCTTTATTTATCTTATTTATTATTGTTACCTTTAACATTATAATTGTTATCTTTTCCTGTTGAATTATTCTGCTAACCAATATATGTAGTGACTTTCTTTACCTTTTTGCTCAATTTTGGCTTAAAGTCTACTTTGTTTTAAAAAAGGATAGCCACTCCTGCTTGTTTTGGGGCTCCTGTTGCATGGAATATTATTTTCCATTCTTTGAATTTTAGTCTATGAGTTTTTTTTTGAGTTTCATGTATTTTTTTAGACAGTACACCATTGGGTTTTGTCTCTTTGGATCCAATTTGTTAGTCTCTGTCTTTTGATTAGGAGTTGAGGACTATTAACATTGAGAGCTACTACTGGAAGTATTGTTATTCCTGTCACTGCATTATTTTCCTGCTGCTTTCTCCTTTCCCTTTTACCTGCCCACCCTATCTGATGTATTCATCCCACTAGACTTTTGGGCAACACTGGCTTCATTGTTTATCCTTGAGAATATTTTGGAGTTCTGGTGTGGTGGTCTTGAATTTCTTAAGATGATCTTTGTCATGGAAAGGTCTTATTTCTCCATTAATTTTATTTTTAAATTTTTTTTTAGATGAGAAGTTTATTTAAACAACAAGACACTTGACTTAAAGGGAAAACTACCTAGGATTCTTTCTTTTTTTTTTTTTTTAAAGGTAATTTACTCCCACTTGTAGACAGATTGCCCTACATGTAATAGCTACATACAGAAAAGTTATAAAATTGTCCTTGGTTTTACAATGATAAATGAAAAACATTAAAATTCTCCAATCAAACAAGATATGCAAGGATTTTTATGTTGTCTTTTCTTTCTTTTGTCTTTCTTCCAGACAGGGTCTTGCTATGCAGTTCAGGCTGGCCTTGAGCTCACTTTGTAGCCCAGGCTGGCCTTGAACTCACAATGACCCTCCTGCCTCAGCCTCCCGAGTGCTGGGATTAGAGGAGTGCACCACCATGCCCGTCTTTGTTGTCTTTTCTTTTAAAACAGTGAGAGCAAAATAGCTTACTGGAATATAAGGATCAGAGTTGATGAGCAGGCCCCTAAAGGAGAAAGGGGATTATTTTTACAAAACCAGTAATTCCCCATCCCATCTCCATTTGATGTCATTCAAAACACATTGTTGGCCATTTAGTAAAAAAAAAATAAAAAAAGCAATATGCTTGTGCACGTACACCAGATACTTTATGTACAATAAAGGGATACGGAAGGGGTAAACGAAAGAAGAGAGAAAACTATACTGTAATAGTCAGGATGTGGTGGAACCTAATTGCAGTTTTCTAATTGAGAATGTGTTCTTGGTCTGCAAGAAAAGAGCTCTGGAGTAGGGCTGTTGCAGGTTCCCTTTTCAGTAGACGCCTCCCATCTGCTGCTGGAACACATCAGTTGTATGTTCATCCTCCGTTTCCAGCTGTGCAGGTGTTTTTTCGTTTTGTTGATTGGCTGTCCATCAAATCAGAATCTGATCTGCTTCACTGACAAACCCTGTCCACTACAGGTTTTCTTTAGTTGACTAGGTGGTGTGTGCCTCTTAATCTTAAACCATCCTGCCCTGTCACCTTCAAATGAATATGATCGTTGTTCTCAGTCTGGACTCCTTCCTTGGGCTTTTCATCGGCCATGGCGAGCACCCATGTCTTCTTAGCTGCCGCTTCACAAAAGAGGAACCAGGTCCTCATGGAACAAACACACAAGCAGTACCAGGAGCAGCAGAAGGAGGCAGCAGTTGTGGCTGAGGAGTAGGGTGCAAGCACATTGTGCAGTTCCTCCCTCCACACCCTGAGTGTGCGAGCTTCTCCATTAATTTCAAAAGATAGCTTTGCAGGATATATCAGTCTGGGTTGAAAGTTGTATTTTTTAGGGATTAAGACACTTCATTCTGAGCTCTTTTGACCTTTAAGGATTGTGTTGAGAAGTCTGCAGTAATTCTAAGGGGTTTTAATTTATAAATGATTTTTTGCTTGTCTGTGCTTGGGTTCAACTTCCAGGATTTTGACTATAATGTGCTGTGGAGAAGTTCTTTTCAAATCAGGGCTACTTGGTGTTCTATACACCTTGCTTATCTGTATGTTAAATTCTTTCCCCATCCTTGCTTGCTATTGGGTGGGGAAGCCTGAGACAGTCTTGCTATGTACTTCAGGCTCGCCTTGAACTCACTATATATTCCAGGCTGACCTTGAACTCACAGTAATCCTCCTGCCTCAGTGTTCTGAATACTGGGATTACAGTGATTCACTACCACACCCAGCCTTTTTTCCCCATACTTGGAAAATTTTGTGCTATTATCTCTCTAATCAGATTTTTAGGCTATTTGTTCTATCTTCTGATTTTTCACTAATTCCAGATAGTCTTAGATTAGTCTTCTTTGCATTATTTAAAAGCTACCACTGTGCTACCTTTAGCAATATAAAAGAGATTTCCAACAATAATCTGGATGCAAAGACAAACCAAATATTGACACATGGTAAATATCTATTAAATGCAATACCATCATTAACAATAGAAAGAAGCTGGGCATGGTGGTGCACACCTATAATCCCAGCATTCTGGTGGCTGAGGCAGGAGGATTATTGCGAGTTCAAGACCAGCCTGGACTACACAGTGAGCTCAAGGTCAGCCTGAACTGCATAGTGAGACCCTGTCTCAAAAAAGGCAAACAAAATAAAACAAAACCAATGGAAAGAATTCAACAATAATAGCATAGAGTCACCTAAATATCTAGACATACTCTTTTTTGAGTTAGGGTCTTATTATGCAGTTCAGGATGGACTTGAACTCACTAAGTAGCCCAGGCTGGCTTCCAACTCATGACAAGACCATATCTCCTGAGTGCTGGGGTTACAGGTGTGCTCTGCCATACCCAACAATATCTAAAAATTAATAAAGCTTAATAGGTAATACTAATAAAGATGGAGGAGGGGCTGAGGGTACAGCTCAGTGGCATGGTGCCTGCCTGGCAAGCATGATGTTCTGAGTTTGATTCCCCATTCAAAAAAAAAGGAGGAGGTGGGAGAGGGGAAAATAAGAGAAGTAAAATTTGGAAAATAAAGAAGAGGTAGATGAAAAGAAGGAGAGAAAAGAGATAAAGAATCCTGTCCAAGTGTAAAAGAAAAATAATATAATTAGATAAAATTAACAGAAAGGCATGATCAGAAAAAGATGAAAAAACAAACAAATAAAAAATAGAGAGCCAAAGAGAGGAAAAAAGAAAGTAAAAAACCCCCAACCCCCCAAAATCTGAAGAGAAAAATGAGAAATGAGTCAAAAAGATTCCTCTGTGTTTTTGAATAAGTGGTTTCTTTCCAGGTCCGCAGTACTATAACCCAGATATGGGGGAGGGATATTGATTTTTTTTTGGTACAGGGAATTGAACTCAGGACCTTGAGCTGGCCAGGCAGGCACTTGTGCCGCTGAGCTATATCCCCGACCCCAAGGGGGAGGGATATTGAGTCACTGCTAAGTCTTATTTTATACTCACATTTCGCACGTTATGCTGAGTCTTGCACTGCCTTTCCTGTTGGATGTGAGTGGTCAGTGGCGTCCACTGTATTCACTTGAGCAGCTCCCACTCTCCATGTCTCTCTGTGCCCCAAGCCACTGCTTTCTCTGCCTAGCTTTACATCCTGTGGATTTGTGAGATGCCCCTTGCACTCCAGAGGTCCCTCTGTCTGTGTAGCACAGGCTGTGGCAACCGCTCAAGCCAAGCTGTATCCCTGATCTCACTGGCAGCTGGAGAGAGTAAACAGACCACAGAGTTCTGTGCTGGGTGTAGGCAGTGGGGTAGGGTAGAGGTCAAGCATTCTGCTGTGCTTACTGCCAGCAATTTCAGACCCAGTCCCTTCCAAAAACCATACATGACCAGCCTGGCTTCTCATGGAGAGAGTGGGACTCCCATGTCCTGCCCAGGCTGAGCTTCAACTTTCAGTGGGTCTGTGGCTAGCCTCTGACTGTCTTTTGTGGCTGTCTCTCAACCAGTCACTGTGGGAGGGTGATGACCTCAGAAACCCTTAATTGTAGTTGTTCTGTAGCTCAGTCTTAAACAACTACCACTTTCCCAAAAGAGCTCCTGATTTTCCTTCTCAATATAATGGGTACTACAGTGGATTTCTTCTTTAAGTCTTGCCTGCCAGGAGGAAGGATTTATTTTCAGGATAATATCCCATGCTGCTTTGCAGTTTATCATAACAGTGAGGTTTCCTTGGGGCTAGAGCATCTTTCCTGGTCCATTATTTCCCCTTAAAGTACACTTTGTGTTAGCAGAGACAGATCCCTGTCTGGGAGCTGGGGTTAGCAATCCAGACTGCTTTGTTAGCAGCTGACTATGGACCAAATCTCCTTAAGATCCCCTTAAAGGTGAAGAGAGAAACAGAGGAGGAGAGCAGAAGGGGAAGGAAAAAGAATTAAGATGTGTTATGTGGATGCACTGACTTTCCAGGTAAATGTGACCACACACTGCAAATCCATGCAAATAAAAATTTAAAATATTTTCTTTCTTTCATTTGTGAGTGTTGGCTATGTGTCCAGCAACGGGAAGCTGACTAATACAGTTTCTGATGTGGGGAATTGTGTGTGGGGTTTTGGGAAGTAGTGGTCAAGTGACCACTGATGACGATGGCTCAGAAACCAGGACAGTGGGTGGGGCCAGACTTTCTATGGTGCAGGGGGGTGGGCATCAAGTGTTTCTCAACAGGACCATGACATGAGGAAGGCAGAAAGGAAGCTGGCCTCTCCTCTCTTCAGTTTCTGCATTTCCCAAGCTGTCCCCTGGTGTCACATTTCCCTCAGGATTTCTCAATCAAAACAAATAGCGAAGCCTCCGGGGGAAGACGGTGCGTACTGCGTGGGACAGCAGTCTCCAGCAGCCGAGGACCCCGGAGGAGGGAAGGATGGAGGGGACAGGGGCCCCGGGGTGGTCGTTGAGGGAGCTGCTGCTGATGCTACTGCTCTGTGTCTCAGGTGAGGAGGCTGGGGAGGGTGCAGGAGGGGATGGGTCCAGCCCGGGCGGCAGCCTCCATCCTCTCGTTTCTTTAGGATGGGCTGGAGTGAGACCGGATCGTGTGTTAGAGACAGGCAAGGACAAGGACGGGAGCAGACACACTCTTGTTTTCTGGTTTTGGGCAATGCTGGGGGTTGAACCCGGTGCCTTTGCACTGAGCTCTTTCCCCAACCCTTTTTATATTTTTTATTTTGAGGCAGGGTCTTGCCAAGTCACTAGGTGGCTTAGCCGGCTTGAACTTGAACCAGGCTCCCCGAGTGGTGGGATCGCAGGTGTGCACCCCACAGCCAGCTGTGCAGTTGGCACAGCAATGTGGAGTCAGCTAAGCTGCCTTCTCGCACCCACTGAGCTCCCAGGAGACGCAGAGAGATATAAAGCGAAGCTCCCTGCAGAGAAACCTGCAGCCAGGGCAGAGGAGACATTAGCAGAGGACAAGGTGATTAGCAGCACAGGGCCACGCTGCAACTGGAAGAGGAAAGTGCAGTGCAAGTCAGTGTGCCAAGGTGCTGGGAAGGCGTGTGGTAAAGGGGCCAGGGCGGTGGAACCAGACAGAGCTGGGTTCAAATCCCATGTCTTCCTTTTTCTAACTGTGCAACCCTTAGAAAGTCCCCTAACCTCTTGGAGCCTCAGTTTCCTCATTGGTGGTTTTTTTTATTTTTTATTTTTTAATTTTTTTTTTGGTTTTTGTTGTGGCTGAGATGCTCAAGAGTGTGTTATTTTTCAGAACATTTTTTCTTGGCTGGTATTGGCAGTATGTAATGTAATAAGTGCATTTATTGTGAGGAGTTGCTCACACATCTCAATTCCCCTTTCACTTCCTTCCTTCCCCTCCATCTTTCCCCTTTCTGTCTCTTGATGTCCTTTCAAGACATCAAGAGATGTCTTTCTCTTTGAAAAGCATCTATCTCTTTACTTTCTATTATCTACCTTTTATTTTGCTCTTTATTTATACTTGGAGTTTCCGACATAAGAGAAATTACATGGTATTTAAGCTTGTGGGTCTAATTTATGTCACTTAATGGTATGTGCTCAAGGTGCATCCGTTTTCCTACAAAGGACTCAAGATTATCTTTCTCTATGGCAGAGTAGTGCTCCGTTGTGTGTTAATACCACATTTTTTTAATCCATGTGTCTGTTGATGCTTCCAAGATTTAGGTATTATTAATTGTGCTGCTACAAACATGAGTATGCATGGATCACTATAATATGATGTCTTTGCCTCTTTCAGGAAGATACCTAGGAGGTGGAATAGTTGGGTCAAATGAAATTTCTAGTTTCTTTCACTCTCTCTTTTTTTGGTCTTTTTGAGACAGGTTCTCACTATGCAGTTCAGGCTGACCTTGAGCTCATTTTGTAGCCCAGGCTGGCCTCAAGCTCACAACAATCCTCCTGCCTCAGCCTCCTGAGTGCTAGGATTACAGGCATGTGCCACCACTCCTGGCTTCTAATTTTGTTTTTTGAGGAAATTAAACACTGATTTTCACAGTGGTTGTATTCCTTTACACTCCCAGCCACAGTGCAGAGAGGGTTTCTTTTTCCTTGCGGCCTTGACAGCATTTGATATTTGACTTCTTGATGTTGGTCATTCTTTTCAGGGTAAGATGATATTTTGGTGTTGTTTTAATTTGTATTTCTCTAATGACTAATGATATTGAATATTTCTTTATGTATTCATTGATCCTTGTACTTCTTCTGTGAAGTGTCTATTCATTTCACTTGCCAATTTTTTCATTGGGTCTTTTATTTGGGAGGGGGTTCTAGTTGTTTGACTTCTTTATGTATTCTCGATATTATTCCTCTGTCTGAAGAATACCTGCCAATTTTTTTCCTAATCTGTAGGCTGTCTTTTCACTCTGCTGTTTCTTTTGCTATGCAGAAACTTTTAAATTTGTGTGATCCCACTTATGATCCTCAGAACTATTTCCTGTGCAACTGGAGTTCTGTTCAGAATGTTCTTGCCTAAACCTATGACTTCTAGAGTTTTACCTATTTTGTCTTCCAGAAAGGTATGTGTCTTGCCTCTAATATATAGTGCTTTGATCCATTTTGATTTTAGTTTAGTACATGGGTCTAGATTCAATCTTCTGCATGTGGGTAGCCACTTTCCCAACACTGTTTATAAAGAGGGTATGTTTTGGTCATTTTTTAAGGATCAAACCCTTGAACATGCTTGCAGTTTTTTGGTATCCTTTACTCTGTTCCATTGATCTTCATGTCTGTTTTTGTGCCAGTACCATGCTGTTTTTATCACAATAGCTTTATAAATAACTTCTAGTCCAAATGCCTCCCACTTTGCTCCCCCACACCAGGACTTCTTTTGCTATGGTAGGTCTCTCCTGGTTCCATATGAATTTTAGGATTTATTTTCTCCTGTTCTATGAAGAATGGAAATTCTGTTGGAATTTTGATTAGGACTGCATTAAGTGTGATATCAAAAGAATGTTGTTGGAATTTTGATTGGGATTGCATTAAATGTGACATCAGTTTTGGAATTATGGTTATTTTGACAATACAGTCTTCTGGCTATTATTATTATTATTATTATTATTATTATTATTATTATTATTATTATTATTATTTT